CTGCACACTGCTTTGTATGGCTCTGTATAGCACAGCTATACAAAGCAGTGTGCTTACAGTGGAAAGCACACAGACACAGACCACATAGTAAAACAGCACAAAGTTAATCCTTTGATCCCCCCTGATGTTAACCCCTTCCTGCCCAGTGCCATTAGTACAGTGTCAGTGCTTTTTATTTGGTCACTGTATTGGTGTCACTGGAGATGTCAGTGACACAAAGTCTATTCCCCCCCAGTGTCAGAATGCCTGCCGAAGTCCCACTATAATTCGCTGATTGCTGTCATTGCTAGTAAAAATTAAAAGGAAAATCCCAGTATCTATACCACCATTTGTAGACACTATAACTTTTACGTAGACCAATTAATTTACACGTATTGGTTTTTTTTTTTTTTTTTTAGCAAAGACATGTAGCAGAATACATTTTGGCCTAAATTTATGACAAAATTAGATTTTTTTACTGGACATGTTTAATATCAAAAAGTCAACAATACTGTTTTCTCAAAATTGTCAGATTTTTTTTTTTATAGCGCAAAAAAAAATAAAAGCGCACAGGTGATCAAATACCACCGAAAAGAAAGCTCTATTTGTGTGGAAAAAGGACGTAAATTTCATTTGGGTGAAGCGTTACATGACCGCACAATTGTCAGTTAAAGTGACGCAGCTCCATAATACAAAAAATGGCCTGGTCAGGAAGGGGGGTTAAAACCTCTAGAAAGCAAGTGGTTAATAGCACATACATGAAAGACACACACCCAAAAAAAAACAACACCTGACAAGGGTTATAACTCTCCCTCAAACTATCCAAAATGAGAAATAAAATATTTTGCCTATAGTTCTACCTAATAAAGGTCAACAGTGACAGTTCCTGTTTTTTGTCTCATGACGGTTATCTTCAGTTTTTCAGAAACTGCCTAAAGCTCTAAAATTCTTATGATGCTGATTCATCAAATAGTGTTTTAAAGGTGTCATAAGGTGTCACATTTTCGGTGATACAGAAAGACGTCCCAGCCAAGACCAGTGTCATTAGTACAGTCACGGTGTACAGTATTATCACTGATCACTGTATTAGTGTCACGTGTGATGTCAGTTAGGTCCCATCCAGTGTCAGATTGTCCGCTGCACTATCACAGTCCCACTATAAGTCGATGATCACCACCATTACTATATATGTGTATATATATATATTATATATATATATATATAATATATATATTATATAAAAAAAATTTTCCAGTATATACAGAGGGTTATGGTTTAAAAATAAGTATTGAACACATCACTATTTTTCTTGGTAAATATATTTCTAAATTTGCTATTGACATGAATTTTTGCCACATAACGGTAACAACCCATGCAATCCATACATACAAAGAAACCAAAACAAATACGTTCAGAAATTAATTTATTGTGTGACAAAATGGATAGACACAGGGAAAAAGGATTGAACACGTTAATTGAAATTTATTTAACCACTTCAATACCTGGCACTTAATGCCTCCTTCCCTGCCCAGGGCCAATTTTCAGCTTTCAGCGCTGTCACCCTTTGAATGACAATTGCGCAGTCATGCAACACTGTACCCATATGACATTTTTTTCACACAAATGGAGCTTTCTTTTGATGGTATTTAATCATCACTGAGTTTTTGCTAAATAAAACAAAAAACACCTGAAACTTTTGTAAAAAAAAATGCATTTTTTCTTCGTTTCTGTTATAAAATTTTGCAAATAAATAACATTTCTTCATAAATATAGGTCAAAAATGTACTCTGCTACATTTCTTTGGTGAAAATAATAATAATAATTGAATTTGTATTTTGTTTTCAAATGTTTCTATTTTTTTAAATTTTTTTATTACATTTTTTCTTTTTTTTTACTATTTTATTTTTCAGCACACTGTGACCAACGCAATACAATGTTACCATAGTAACATTGAACTACTCTGGCAAGTGATCAGGTTTTTTTTTACAACATTATGATTGCTAATACCAATGTATATTTCATTGATATTTGCAATCGTTACTGAATGAAAACTGATTCAATTCAGTCTTGTGTGATTGGGCAAAGCTGATCACATGATACAGATGGGCAGTGATTGGCCCTGTCTGTATCATGTGACTGCTTTGACCAGTCACAGCTAACAACATAATTGTATACATATGGATGGCATGAGAGGAAGCCCTCCATTGTATACAAATCACATGTGATCTGTTGTGATTGGTCACAGCGGTCACATGACACTGGCAACGGGGCCGGTGTAGTGGATATGTCAATCAGTTGTGTTCCGTGGTCACAGCCAGTGACAGATCGTGTGGGCGGCTCGTTTTGACAGGACGTCATATGATGCCCAGTCACAAGGGCGAGTGTCCTGCCCGGCGGTCTATCTGCTATAGGCTGGGCAGGAAGGTGTTAATACTTTGTACAAAATCCTTTTGTTGGTTAATGACTAGAGATGAGCGAAGTATTCAAAATTCGATTCGACTGATTCGGCGAATTCGTGGAAAAATTTTGATTCGAGTCGAATATATTCGCTGCGAATTTAACTTATAAAAAGGGTGTTTCTAGGCTTCAGAGAGCCTTTATATTAGTGCAGAACACTGTACCTTTAATTTAAATGCCCTTGGAGTCTGCTGGGGAAGAGAAATAATACTGACAGTCAGTATATGTCACATGCAGATGAGTGCCGTCGATCTTAGAATCACCGCACACTTCACTTTCATTTGGGCAGTCACCGGGGCCAAAACCAGAGTGTGGAGCCACAGTGTGGCGGTGGAGGCAGCAGCAATGGGAGGCCATACAGCACCCTATGACAAAAATGGGGCATGAGCAATTGGTACGGGGGCCCATGGCAGATACGGGCCTGGCAGCAGCAATGGGAGACCGTACAGGGACCCCATGGACACACTCGGACCTGGCAGCAGCATGAGGAGGCGGTACAGGGCCCATGACAGATTACGGGCTTTGGGCAGCAGCATGAGGAGTCGGTACGGGGGCCCATGACACACTCTGGACTGGCAGCTGCATGAGGAGGCGGTTACACTGGGGCGCATGACAGATTACGAGCCTGGCAGCAGCAACTTGGACAGGAGGACGTTCAGCTTCTGCACCGTCGGGTGCGTGCTCGCAAAAACTGTTGTCTCTTGGAACGGATTCCAAGAAAGACTGCTGACGGAATCCGTGAAGAGGAGTAGCAGGATGGAGAAGGAGCATCTGAACGAGCGGAATATGCAACAAGCGACAACAGGGGCCATGACAGATTACGGGCCTGGCAGCAGCATGAGGTGAGTCGGTACGGGGGCCCATGGCAGATTACGGGGGCCTGGCAGCAGCAATGGGGAGGACCGTAATCTGCCAGCACCCTATGACAAAAAATGGGAAATCAACACCAGCAGTGTGTGAGGATTGACCTGAATAGTGGCACATGGCAGAGTGTGGCGATGGAGACAAGCAGCAATGGGAGGCCGTACAGGGACCCATAGAGAGACTGTGGACCCTGGCAGCAGCATGAGGAGGCGGTACTGGGGCCCATGGCAGATTACGGGCTGGCAGCAGCAATGGGAGGCCCGTAATCTTTTAACATTTTCACTCTTACTATTCACAAAAAATGTAACACAACCAGCAGTGTGAGGAGACCTGAAAGTGGGCACAATGTACAGAGTGTGGCGATGGAGACAGCCACAATGGGAGGCCCCAGGGGGAACCCATGAGAGACCCCTGGCAGCAAACACATGAGGAGGCGGTACTGGGGCCCACCCCCCCTGGCCAAAACATTGGGAGGCCCATAACGTAAACTCCCAGCACCCTATGACAAAAAAATGTAACACACCCAGCATGTGAGGAGACTTGAAAGTGGCCACATGGCAGAGTGTGGCGATGGAGACAGCAGCAATGGGCGAGGCGGTTTCAGGGACCCATGAGACAAGTTGACCTGGCAGCAGCATGAGGATGGCGGTTACAGGGGCCCATGGCTGATTAAGGCCTGGCACTGGCAGCAATGGGAGGCCCAGTAATCTGCCAGCACCCTATGACAAAATGGAACCCTGGGTGGGGCAGGCAGAACCGCCGTATCTTTATCCTCACGGTTTATTCCCTCAGGCCCCTTCTCCCTCCGAATGGTGACGCTGCATATGCTGACGCAACGCTTTGTAGTCCCAACATGGGCCCTGGCCACGCTTGTACTTTCTGGCCACCACCATAGTTCCTGACATACGGGTACGAAGTTTACAAAGTGCCTCTCGGCGGATTGAACGACAAGCCAATTGCCACACCACCGAGTAGGAACTTTGCCCCCGCTACTCCAATCACTGGCTGACTGCTACTTCTCCGTGCGCACACCGGCACACTACGGTCACCGTGGTGGTAGGCTGCAGTGGAGCTGGTGCTCTACTCCGTGGCCGTTTTGCCACCACTGACACTGCTGCGACCCCCATGCTGCCTCCTGGCCGAGCAGCAATGGGAGGCCGTACAGGGACCCTATGACACACTCTGGACCTGGCAGCAGCATGAAGAGGCGGTACCAGAGGGGCCCATGGCAGATTACGGGCCTGGACAGCAGCAATGGGAGGCCCGTAATCTGCCAGCACCCTATGACAAAAAATGGAACACACCAGCAGTGTGAGGAGACCTGAAAGTGGCACATGGCATGAGACACTGTGGACCTGGCAGCAGCATGAGGAGGCGGTACAGGGGCCCATGGCAGATTAGAGGGGCCTGGCAGCAGCTATGGGAGGCCCGTAATCTGCCAGCCACCCTATGACAAAAAATGGAAACACACCAGCAGTGTGTGAGGAGACCTGAAAGTGGCACATGGCAGAGTGTGGCGATGGAGACAGCAGCATGGGAGGCCGGTACTGGACCCATGAGAGACTCTGGACCTGGCAGCAGCATGAGGAGGCGGTATAGGGGCCCATGGCAGATTAGGGGCCTGCAGCAGCTATGGGAGGACCGTAATCTGCCAGCCACCCTATGTCAAAAAATGGAACACACCAGCAGTGTGTGAGGAGACCTGAAAGTGGCACATGGGCAGAGTGTGGCGATGGGAGACAGCAGCAATGGAGGGCCGTAACAGGGACCCATGAGAGACTCTGGACTTGGCAGCAGCATGAGGAGGCGGTATAGGGGCCCATGGCAGAATTTAGGGGCCTGGCAGCAGCTATAGAGGCCCGTAATCTGCAGCACCGCTATGACAAAAAATGGAACACACCAGCAGTGTGAGGAGACCTGAAAGTGGCACATGGCATGAGACACTGTGGATCTGGCAGCAGCATGAGGAGGCGGTATAGGGGCCCATGGCAGATTAGATTTTTTTTGGCCTGGCAGCAGCTATGGGAGGCCCGTAATCTGCCAGCACCACATATGACAAAAAATGGAACACACCAGCAGTGTGAGGACGACCTGAAAAGTGGCACATGTTTGGGGCATGATTCATGGCGGATTTAGTCAGTTGTGTCAGGAACTGGTGGTTTGAAATCCAGACTAAATCCTCCACGCCTGATTCATTTTCACAAACGTTGAGTCTCTCCACACTTTGGGTGGGACAGTCGTGCCCTCCGCGGAGTCGTTACAAATACCCACAAAAATCCTCCTGCCGCACATAAACACGCGCTCGTATGCCTCGCTACTGGCCAGGGCATGACAGCCTATCAAAGGCAAATTCAGCTAGGTTGGGGCCAAAGGTCAAGTTTGCGTTTGCCAGTAGTCAAGGGGATTGTCTACCTCAGTTGGCAGGGTGCTGTCCAAGTAGGCCCAAGCGCTGTTGTTTGAGGTCCTGCTCAGGTCCACCTGATGCTCCTGCTGCTGCTGCGGCTGGTTAGTAGTTTCCTCACTGCGCTGGTGAAGAAAGCTACTCATCATCGACTGCAGACTGATGCGCAGCCGCTGCTGGTGGAGCTGCCAATGCTCCTTACCACCCCACCCCTCCCCTGCTGCCATGGCAGCGGAACGCGAGCGCACAGGGCCCACAGTGTTCTGAGGATGGACGTTGGCGCAGAAAGGCAGAGACCAGCTGACTACATAGGTGGTTCTTATAGTACGTTATTTTGGCCTCCCTCTCAGCAGGTGTGAAAAAGGCCACCATATTTTGAACGGTAGCGAGGGTCCAACAAAGCAGTGGACAGCCAAAAGTCACTTCCCTCTGTCTTGATGGTTTATTATTCGGCTGTCGCTACGCAAGCAACCGAGCATGCTATGGGCCATTTGTGCCAAGGATATGCGAGGGACTCCCTGCCTTCCATCTCCCACAGCATACTGCCGCACGGTGCGTCTGGGTCCTCTGTCTCCTCCTCCTCTACCTCTACCAGATGCTCCTGCTCCTCCAAACTCCTGTCCGCTGAGTGGAAAAACCACCATTTCACTCAATAATTCCTGAGCACAAATGTCCTCCTCTACCTCCTCCTCTTCTTCCCTGTCCTGCCCCCACAGGGGTCATTTGGCTGTTGAGATTCTGTGCGCCACGTGCTACCGCACCTGACCAGCCATTGTTAACAGCATTTGTTCCAGGACGTGCACAACAGAGGAATGACGTCATTCATCCCATATGGCCTGCCGACGTCACGAATAGCGTGGCCTCTCCTCAAAGGGGCCCATGAGCAAGCGGCAGGTGTCACGCATGAGCTGCCAATGGCTGACATCGAAGTTACTCACAGGGGAGTACCTTTATCCGCTTGTAACATCAGAAATCGGTGGTTGATGGCCTTTCGCTGTTCGTAAAGGCGGTCTAACATATGTAGGTGGAATTCCACCTTGTTGCAACGTCGCAGATCAGGCGATGCTGTGGAATTCCGTTCATGACCGCTGCAGCTCTAAGGAGGGTGTGCTTTGCGGTGTAGGAATGGCTGAAATGCATGCAAAGTTTACGTGACATTTTAAGGATGTCTTGCAGTGGGATGGTGGATTTTAGGAACCGCTTGACAACCAGATTTTTTGAACACGTGAGACCATGCATGGCGCATGGCACAACCTTTCCTTGACGCAGAGCAGACACCATGTTCTTATCCGTTGTCGGTCAACATGGTTCCGATTTTAAGTTTGCGTGGAGGGGACAGCCATCTGTCGATTTTCTCTGTTCATTACACTGAGAAGTTCCTCCCTGTGTGACTACGTTCGCCAAGGCGATACCAGGTGCAGCACAGCGTGAACACCGTTGCGCCCTGCACTATGTGATATGCTGGTTCGGGTAATGGGACTTGGCAACGCAGGGGTGCGTGGCGGCTGAGGACACGGCGGAAGAAAGAGGTTGTAGAGGCGGGACATCTTTGCCGGACCAAGGACGTGCAAACGTGGAGGCAAAAGCGGCGTGACCTGTCCAAGTTGCATGGTGCGGCTGTTACTGACGGCACCACGTTCACCCAGTGGGCCGTAAATGACATGTACTGTCCCTGGACCGTAGTTAAGCTCCATACGTCGCGCTGCCGTGCACTTTGGCAGAGACCGACTCATGCTCAAAGACTGCCCACCATCTCTTCTACATGTGAATGCAGGGCTGGCACTGCCTTTTGGCGAAGAAATGACGGCTTGGCACTCTACCACCGTGGCGCGGCACATGGCAGCAAGCCATCATTTCTCGGAAAGGTGCTGAGTCCACCACTTGGAAAGGGAGGGGACTGCCTAGCTCCAGCAACTTGGACAGGAGGACGTTCAGCTTTTGCAACGTCGGGTGCGTGCTCGCAAACTGTTGTCTCTTGGAAACGGATTCCAAGAAAGACTGCTGACGGAATCCGTGAAGAGGAGTAGTAGCAGGAGAAGGAGCATCAGAACGAGCGGAAGATGCCAACGAGCGACAACTCCCCTCAGCAGCAGAGTGTTGGAGCCTTGACTGGGCTGATAGAGGGCGATTGACGTCGGGTGACGGAGCAAGTAACGGAGCGGGTGATGGAGCGTGGGGCTGGGGCGGGCAGAACCGCCGTATCTTTATCACGGTTTTCCCAGGCCACCAAATGGCGACGCTGCATATGCTGCCGCAACGCTGTAGTCCCAACATGGGCCCCCTGGCCACGCTTGACTTTCTGGCCACATAGTCGACATACGGCTACGTTTACTTCCTCGGGCGGCTTGACAAAAAATTGCCACACCGCCGAGTAGGAAAACTTTGCCCCGATACTCCTCACTGGCTGACTGCTGCTTCCTCCGTGCACACTGGCACCACTACTGGCTGTGGTGGTAGGCTGCAGTGGAGCTGGTGCTGTACTCCGTGGCCGTTTGCCTCCACTGACACTGCTGCGACCCTGCTGCCTCCTGGGCAACCCACCGACTGTTTTGCTCGCTGCCAAGCTGGCACCCTATTCTCCTGATGATGCGGAAGCAATAGCCTGATGACGACGAGGCTGCCAAGTGCGATCAGCCTCATCATCATCAATTAGGGTCTCCGCCTCACTACTAGCCCCCCTCGGCTGCGTGTGGGTCAGGAGACAGACCTGTCTCTAGACCGGCTACCGAGCCACTCTCCTCGCCACTACTTCTTCGCCTGGCTGCTGAAGAGGCGGATGTCTCCCCCCGTTTCCTGACCGCCCTCTGTTAGCTCTTCCTCACTGTACAGTGGGGCTGAGCCCACAGCATGCGATACTTTGCTTGGTGAGGGAACACCAAAGGACAGGGGCAGGTAGAGGACACGTGATTTCAGTGGGCTTGCTCCCGGGCCATGCCAACTAACGGTTGTGTCTGACGTACCCACCGACCGTTGGCTGTAGGTGTCAGAGGTGACCTGGGAAGAGGAAGATGACCGAGCCAACCAATCGATGACGGCAGGGTTGTCGGTGGAGACACGACTGCTGGATGACACCGGGAGCACTGGCCTCTGGCTGCGAATAGTGCTGCCTCGACCCCTTCCTCTGCTGCCACGTCTGCTCGCTCCTAAAACATTGCCTCCTCTGCCACTCCTCTGCATGTTGTCTGACATACTCTTTAATTAAACGATTCTGTGTTCCTGAGTAACAATTCTGTGTCTGTCCCTGAGTAACAATTCTGTGTCCCTGAGTAACGTTTTCTGTGGCCCTAAGTAACAGTTCTGTGGCCCTGAGTAACAATTCTGTGTCCCTCAGTAACAAATTTTGTGTCCCCTCAGTAACAATTCTGTGTCTGTCCTCAGTAACAATTCTGTGTCTGTCCTGAGTAACAATTCTGTGTCTGTCCCTGAGTAACAATTCTGTGTCCCTGAGTAACGTTTCTGTGGCCCTAAGTGACAGTTCTGTGGCCCTCAGTAACAATTCTGTGTCCCTCAGTAACAATTCTTGTGTCTGTCCCCGAGTAACAATTCTCTGTGTCCCTGAGTAACAATTCTGTGTCCCTCAGTAACAATTCTGTGTCCCTCAGTAACAATTCTGTGTCCCTGAGTAACAATTCTGTGTCTGTCCCTGAGTAACAATTCTGTGTCTGTCCCTGAGTAACAATTCTGTGTCCCTAAGTAACGTTTCTGTGGCCCTCAGTAACAAATCTGTGTCCCTCAGTAAACAATTCTGTGTCTGTCCCTAAGTAACAATTCTGTGGCCCTAAGTAACGTTTCTGTGGCCCTAAGTAATGGTTCTGTGGCCCTCAGTAACAATTCTGTGTCCCTCAATAACAATTCTGTGTCTGTCCCTAAGTAACGTTTCTGTGGCCCTAAGTAACGATTCTGTGGCCCTCAGTAACAATTCTGTGTCTGTCCCTAAGTAACAATTCTGTGGCCCTAAGTAACGTTTCTGTGGCCCTAAGTAACGATTCTGTGGCCCTCAGTAACAATTCTGTATCCCTCAGTAACAATTCTGTCTGTCCCTGAGTAACAATTCTGTGTCCCTAAGTAACGTTTCTGTGGCCCTAACTAACGATTCTGTGGCCCTAAGTAACGTTTTCTGTGGCCCTAAGTAACGTTTCTGTGGCCCTAAGTAACGATTCTGTGGCCCTAACTAACGTTTCTGTGTCCCTAAGTAACGTTTCTCTGTCCCTAACTCTCTCCCTGAATACAGCCAGGTCTGCCTCTGTTGAATGACTGGAGGCAAATGGAGAATTCTAAAATGGCTGCCATTTATAGCTCGACCATTACACTGTGCTGGCTGGCTGGCTGCTGATTGGCTAATGCGATCACATGTCATGAATGAATGCATTATGGGTCAGCGCGCCTTGTCTGCGCGCCTTCCCAGACATCCCCAGCTCCGTTGCCGCACATGTCGCCGCCATTTTAGGAAAAATTTCGATTCGCGCATCCGAAGTCTGCTTATTTTCGGATTTGACGCGAATCGAAATTTTCCTAATATTCGAAACGAATTCCACTTCGCCTACTTCGATTCGCTCATCTCTAGTAATGACAGCTTCAAGACACCTCCTGTATGGAGAAACTAGTTGTCTGCATTGGTGTGATTTTGGCACATTCTTCCACACAGTCTTCAAATCTTGAAGGTTCTATGGGTCTCTTCTATGAACTCTGATCTTTAGTTCTTTC